TTAATTTTCTGATTATTTGTCCTCATTACAAGCGATTAATAACACCCAGCTTGTACACCCAATAATCGGGGATATATACAAGCTCTCTGGGCCGAAAAAGGACTCTCCTATTGTGCCAACAGGAGGAATGAAATTGTTTTGAGTCGCTCTCGACTTGGTCATATTCACCTCACCAACCGTTATCTGATCAAGCGAGAGCCTCAACCAGTCTGTGAGCCATATAGCCTGTTTGGTGCTGATGCTCCTTAATGCATTTCATTTCATTTCAAAATCATCCGATGGGAATCCACCGACACGAAAGTATTTCTGGATTGTTGATTCTAATGTTTCTCGCCAAGCTTCACTATCCATCGAATAGCATGTGATTTCTCGACATAATTCGGTGGCCGACTTTACAGAGTCTATCTTCATTAATGGTGAATCATTATTTTATTATGATTAAAATCTAATTGCTACTATGACTAAACACTAAAATCTATATATAAATAATGCATATAAAATTGAGCTGGACTATATTTTCACCTGATGATGTAAAGGAATTTTTATAGAGACCATTCTGAATTTAAAAACACAGATATTGAAAATGGTTTTCACTCAGAATAGTTCAACTAATTGAAATGAAATGAAATGTGCAATTGTGCATCAGCGCCATAACGGGATATAGTCCCTGAATGCCATAAAAAAAAAAGTCAAAATGACAAACAAAAAGGTTGAGTGTCAGAACACTAATACTGAACAAGGGTCAAACATCTTCAATCTTACATATTTATATAATTACAAATATTTACAATAAAATACAAAATTTAGACGAAAACGAATATATAAGAATAAGAAAAGAGGAATGACCGAGGGATAAAAGATTGAAAAGTGGAATAAACTTTATTTCAATGATATGTTTCTGATCTGTGTGACATCAAATTGAATCACAAACTGATCGTTGAAATTTAAATAACCATTGTTTTTATCTGTGAGTTCCGCCCAGATGATATGATCCCACCATTCCCACCAACATCGAATCTCTCATCATCGACTGTATCACTTACCGTTTTACTGTCATCATCCATATTCAATAAACTGATTTGACCATCAATAAAACAATAGTTTAGTCTAGGATTGTCACATGATGATAGTACAATACCAATATCTAAATAACCATCATTAAACCTCCCTACGCGACAACTCCATACCACGTTAATATAATTGAACTTCTCTTGACTGTAATACCATTCACCATCATTCATAATATCATTTATATTAAAATGAAATTTATACGAATTAAACTCGTGTAGTTTTGGTGTGTGATATTGTGTTAACACCATGGACCATGACATTTCGATGTTGAAACCAAAATCTTCTTCTTTCCAATCAAGATACTGAACCACTGATGGTGTTACTGTTAGGACTTCCACATCTTTACACAAATCTTCTAGCTCTTTTATTTTCTCAAGTGAAACTAACATTTGGAAATCACAATCTTCTGTTAAAGACAGCAAATTCTTCTCCAGATTCCATGTTAATATTTTTATATCTCCCATAATTTTCTCATTAGTAACATTCTGGTGTGTTAATCACTGAAGCTGTGGCCATTTCAGTTTTTTTTTATACAATTCACTCGAGATGTCCTTGTTGAAAATAGAACATTCAGGTTTAAAACACACAATAGATGTCTTAGTTGAAAATGTTGTGGTTTGATGAAGAAATAATCTGTTGACAATTACTGTTTCTATTCCACCTCTAATAATAACAATAATATATAGGTCCCCAGTTAGCTACCATTTAAACTATTATCCATTGTTATTATTAACATAGAGTAAGTTCAAATTCCACGAATAATCACGTCACGTGTTTCAATTTCTCAGCCTTATTTGATGTAAAGTCTATTCAATGTGTAAGAATAGCTTTTGTCGTGTTATGCCCTATTGACAACTTTTA